AATAGAATAAAAGAGAAAGTTTTGGGAAGCAAAAAAAAATAAGTTTCAATTAGATATATTATAAAAAAAATAAAAAAAATTTATTCTCAATCATTAAATATATTATATCCACATTACCTAAAAAAAATATTAAAGAACATGGAATCATTTACTGATATGAATGTTGAAATTTTAGATGAAAATATTGTCAATTTGGATGATGATGACAACTATGATGATGATTCTGATGACAACTATGATGATGACTCTGATATACTTGTGTATGATTATTCTTCACTTGATAAAGCCAAAGAGAGTATTAGTTACTTACTAGATGAAGATGAGGAGGATGATGATGATAATAATGTTAGTGATAGTGATGATGATGCTAATATTACTGATGAAGAAAAAGAAGATGAAGAATATGAAACAAGGGAAATACCAAATGGTAGTAATAAAGAATTGACTCCCTGTGTTGTAATTGATAACATTGATGGGGTAATACAACAATGTAGATCCACTAATAGAGTGAGACGTTTAGGACAGCTTGTTGGAGTATGGGAGGTAGATGAAACTGCTGTTAGAAGTTGTGATGATCTAGTGAATGAATTGGGTGTATGTTATGATCATTTTTTGCAGGATCAAAATCACATTCATTCAAAAGGAGCTAAACAAGAAGTAAATATTGAAAAAAGCCTTGTACAATTTCGAAAATGCCTATTTTGTAACCAGAACAAAGCTTTTTTCACACGAAGGAAAACATGTGTTGAGCATTGCTGGAATATCATTGGAAAAAATATTCAACTTCCATGCAATGCACAGTATAAATGTAAAGTATTCTCACCTAACTCAACTGCAAGTATGACTAAATCTGTCTATAGGCCTCGGTTTATTTGTTGTGATTGTTTTAATCAACATGGTGGTCATTTAAAACCAAGATCTGGAAAGGGAATACCATTTAAATTATGTAATGATGTATCCAGTTCCTTACAATATATAAGTAAATGGATTTTAGAAGTATCTCATAGCAGTGATCAAGGATATAAAGAAAAGGTACTTAACTACTTGGCTCCAAAATTTCCCGAAAACATAAAATTGGAACCTTCAAAATCTACACAACCAGAACATTCAGAAGAAATCAAAGTTCCTCGTCTATTTCTTATAAAAACCATTTTAAAATTAGCCAAAGTGAATCTTACAGACAAAGAAAGGGCTTCTAATTTGACCTCAGGAGAATTCTATGATCAAGCAAAAACACTTGCATTAGCAATTTGGAAAAACAAGAATATTCTTTCAGAAAATTCTGATCAACTTTCCCAACCTGAATCTTTAGAAAAATATATAAATGCATTTCCACCTTGCTTGACAAGTTTTTTTAGTGGAATGGTTGAAACAATAAGTATTAAAAAACAACTTCGACGTAGAAATCCAATCTCCAATCCTAACAACAATCAAACAATAAAAACAACAGCATTTCTTTCATCTGTAGTCATAACACATTCATTTAAAAAAAATAAAATATGGCTTACCCAAATTCTAGCAACATTATGTCGCAGACCCAAGTTATTAAGCTCTTTATATCAAGTGCTACTGGCTGGTGGTATACTTCCCCATACAATAAGACATGAACGTCGTTGTGAAAGTGATTCAATGGAAGCTGCAGATCCAAGGAAACATTTAATTTATGGTCCTAGAATATGGAGTGTTGCTGTAATTGACAATATTGATTTCAAAGATTCTACTTTCTTTTCAGGAAATATCTTTGATGCAACAAGAAATAGTGTACACGCAGTTGTTCGGATCATTTTTCAATTTAACTTGCAAGAACTTTTGAGTAATATTATGAAGGAACAATCAAAATGGTCAAGAACATTCTCTAATCTGTTTGAATCTTCAGAATTTATTGAAGAATGGGATGAGATAAAAAATAATACCTTTTCTGAATTATTAAAAATACATGGAAGAGATTTAGATGTACTTCATATACATGATGAAATTACTCACCATTATTTACAAAAATCATCTACACTCCTTGAACCTCCTAATGTTGTAATACTCAAGGCAGGACCTGAACCTAATAGTGATAAAAATGTTTTTGCAACATGTGATCTGTTTGAGGAAGATCTTCTTTCAAATGATACTGAAGTAAAAAATGGTTATGACAAACGTCTTGACATAGTTGCTGATGAAGCTATTTTCCGAAGACTTGTACGTTATAAGAAAGGTCATCCAAAGGTTTTTCCAATGCTTGGTCAATTTCATACAAATAAGGAAATGCTTGCTGTGCTCATTTCTGCCTTTTCAGGATATGGTATTTTTAACATTGCAGCCAAACTTGGTTCCAGATTTTTAGATAAATTAGATGATGTTGCTGATTATAGAGCAACTTGTAGAACCATAGAGTTATTGTGGGTTGCCACTGGAATAGCAATTAACCTGTATGTAGAAGAAAAAAAAATATCAATAAAAGATATACTACAGGAAAATAACAATATTCTGAAAGTTTGGTACTTATTCTACAAATGGGCTGGATATTGGAAAGGTCACAAGGTTGGAATTAGGACAGGCAATTTCAACATGCAGATAGAGAATTTAATAGCTTTTGCTCCATTATTTCCAGTAACTGGCAAATATAATTATTATAGAGCAACTGTTAATTTCCTTGCCTACCTTTGTAAAAATCCTGATCAAGTGAATCTCTTGTCAAGAGTATGTTCTGTGAATTTGTCAAGAGAAGGGAGTTACTATGCATTTGATGAGGCCATGGAAATATATGGAATAAAATATATTAAGCAGAATATAAGTCAAAATCCTACCTCGCAAGAAAATCTTATGAAGGAAATTAAATCAATGCAATCAAGGAAGGAAAAAATTAATATGTTTTTTTCTGAATTTTTGGGTGACAATGTAACTAATACCAGAAGTAAAAAAGTAGTTAATAGTCGTAAAGAGAGTCTCTGGTTACTTATAGATGATCTCTACAATATATTCAATGGCACAATTCCATTGAATGATTCTTTGTTTAAAGATGTTAAGGAATTTAATGATGAAGGGTTAAATAATATATTTACCTGTTATAACAAAGGAATCCAGCAACTTTACACTATGTTAAATGAAGAAGTACTTCAAAATTTAACAATTAAAGGAACCGGTATGAAGAACATTTCTCTGTACAAATGGAATGACCTAAATAAAGAAATAAATGAAAAGAAAAAAAAATCAAAAAAAGCCAAACAACCAAAAAAAATTAATCCTGAATCTATGATAATTGACATTGAAACAGTAAATACAACTATTGAATCCTCCAACATACCTCCTTCAACAGATCTTGAACAACCTCCACCAACAAAAAATACAAGATATAGACCATCTAAGGATGAAAAAAAAATCCTTGAAAACCTTGCTTCATTTAATGAGACACCATCAATGGATAAAATTGATGCTGTATTGAAATCATTACTCTTGCTTAATCCAGGTTATTGGAATGTGAGAAAAGTGAAAGAATATTGGAGACACAATCTTGGACCTAATCGAAGAAAATCAAAAAAAAATCAAACAGAAATGGAGTTATAATTATTTTATTATTATTATATAAATATATTTTTTTTTCCTTAATACATACATATCTTAAAATATTAAAATTATTATTGGAATTAATTATTTTATTATTATTATATAAATATATATTTTTTTTCCTTAATACATACATATCTTAAAATATTTAATATAAATTTATATTTACG